CACCCCCCGCCCCCTGTTTGTCCGTCACTGACTGTCCCCCCATCCAGCAACTCTCCCAGCTCCCAGTTTGTCCATCCCTCTCTGTTGCCCCCATCCAGCAAGCCCCCCGTTCCATTTGTCCATCACTGACTGTCCGCCCCTCCAGCTACCCTCCCAGCTTGTCTGTCCCCTTGTAAACAGGTGAGCACTCACCACCACAGGTACCTTTTGCTGGTCACTCAGGAATTAGCTCATTCAGTCCTGGAACACCCCCTTTCGGCCAGTGTCTCACCCCTAGTTTCCCAGAGGTGGAGGAAAAAATAGGTATTACCCTATCACAGTGCTCCCACACGCTGGGGTCCTCCACTCCCAGGGAACCCCAGTTCTACACCCACCTTGCCTCAGTCACCCACTGCCAGTTGTCTAGCCCCTGCCTCGGGCAAACTGCAGCCTGAAATGGCCACTCACCATTGGCAAAGGGGCATGGACCTGCTGCCTTTGCCCATCTTGGCTGTGTCTCTGCAGCCCTAGTCGCCTCAGGCCCTGCAGACACCTCAAGACAGGACGCCTCCATCTTCCCTGGCAGCCACATCCCTACTGCTCTGCCATTGGAGCAAGAGTGAGTCTGTGCCCTCTCCAGAAGCCTTTATTTATACCCCCCTCAGCTAGGCCCTAATTAGCTGGTACCTGCCACAGCTGTGGGCTTTGCGCTCTCTGCCCTCTCCCAGGGCTGGGTTTTACCCTTACAGGGCCAGTGCGGAGCAGACACCTCGTCACAACCCCACCAGAAAACCCTTCCGTCTCCCTATGTGTCCATCCCCCTCTTGTACCCTACATCTAGCAACGCCTGTCCCCGTTTGGCCATTTCTGTCTGTCCTCCTCATCCAGCAGCTCCCTCCATCCTCCTGTCTGTCCGTCCCTCTTGTACCCTACATCTAGCAACGCCTGTCCCCGTTTGGCCATTTCTGTCTGTCCTCCTCATCCAGCAGCTCCCTCCATCCTCCTGTCTGTCCGTCCCTCTTGTACCCTACATCTAGCAACGCCTGTCCCCGTTTGGCCATTTCTGTCTGTCCTCCTCATCCAGCAGCTCCCTCCATCCTCCTGTCTGTCCGTCCCTCTTGTACCCTACATCTAGCAACGCCTGTCCCCGTTTGGCCATTTCTGTCTGTCCTCCTCATCCAGCAGCTCCCGCCATCCTCCTGTCTGTCCGTCCCTCTTGTACCCCACATCTAGCAACGCCTGTCCCCATTTGGCCATTTCTGTCTGTCCTCCCACCTGGCAAACCCCTCCACCCCCATTTGTCTGTCCCTGTCTGTACTAGGGATGTTACATTTCATGTCCTCAGCTAATCGAGCTGTCGATGGAATTTCCATCGACTGCTCGAGTCATCGATAAGGGGGCAGAGCTGCAGTGAGGCCAGCTCCTGGTCCCAGTCCCCCGCTGGGCCTCTGCCTCCCATGCCCACTGGCGGGGACCGTGCTGGGGAGCCGACTTTTAAGATGGCTCCCCCCAGCACTGGCACTTCCTCTGATAGAGGCAGCAAGGGGAGGAGGGGGTGGAAGCGAGTAATCAAGTAATCGCTTGATTAGTCACTTTCAGCCCCAGTTTGTACCCCCATCTGGTAACCCCTCCATCCCCCAGTATGTCCATTCCCATCCGTCCATCCTGTCTGTACCCCCACCCAGCAACCTCCTGTGTCCCTCTGTCGCCCCATCCGGCAGCACCTTCTATTCCCTCCATCCCCCCATCTCTCCATATTCCTCTGTTTCCCTGTCCCCCGCCACTTCCTGGGGCCTCTGCTGGCTGGAGCATGGGGGGGTCCCTTTACCCCCTTCACCCACCCAAGGCACTGGTTCAAATCCAGCCCCATCTGTCATGTCTGTTGGCATGGGTCTGTCCCTCTGGGACCCATGGCTTCTGTCCCAGCCCCTGCAGTAGAGCATGTCCCCCACAAGTATAGCCTGCGGTGAGCCCCAGGGGCTGTCCAGGCCCAGCTCGTCCTGAGAACGCAGCCAGCCGCCTTTCTTGGTAAGCTGAGCCTGCCCTGTCCCTTCTTAGCACTTGCTAAGAGCCTCAGCCGCCCCCGCCCCCATCTGGCTTGCTCCTCACAGGGACACCACCCACGCCATGTCCTGGCCTCTCCCCGCCCTGCCTGGCTGCCCCCAGGCCCTGAGGCCCTGGTCCTGCACTCGCCGGGGGCTGCTCAGGGCCGCTGGAAGGGAGGGCTGGCTGGGCTCTGTATGTCCAGGGAGGGTCTCCTAAGGGCTGTCAGAGATGCTCAGCCCCATGGCCTAGAGTGGGAGGGGCCAGGGGAACTCAGGCCCTGCAGTGAGAGGAGCTGTGCCCCCCTCCAGCCCCTCCCTGCCCAGTGGTGCCACGCAAACCCAGCGCCTATGGCGTGGGGAGCCCGGAGCCTCTCTTAGCTGCTGGCACTGAGTGAGGGGCCTGGTCTGGGGGAGCAGCGGGACCCGAGGGGGCTCAGACAGCCTCCCTGCCAGACCTGGCTCCCTCTCTGCGGGCTGGGAAGAGCGACACTTTCCCTGGACTCTGAATCCGATCACTAGGGGAAGGGCTGGAAATAAACCTTCCTTCCCTAAATCCTCAGGGATGGGAGCGGCAGTGGGGGCTGATGGGGGATGGGGCTGAACAGGATTGGGGGGGGGGTGTCTGGCTGCCCCCAGACACCTTCCCCTTGGTGACCCCAATTGTCGGCTTCATCCCAACCCAGTAGTTTGGGTCCCCAGGAGGGAGACGCAGAGAGGGAGCCAGGGCTGGTGGGAGCTGTAGGTGCCCAGTCTCCCTGGTGTGCCCCTTTTACTCTCAGAAACCCGGAGCCACGCTCCAGATTCCCCTTCTGCGGGGGCGGAGGGGGGAAGCCAAGAGGGAGATGCCAGCCCGCACTGGAAGCTGGAAAGCTGGAGCTAAGGGGGCCTTGGAATAATGCAGCAGGCCCAGAGGCCGTGCTGAAAGGCAGCGGGCCCCCTTCCAGCAGGCAGTTCTGTGACCTGTAGAAGGGGGCTTGGCGCTTTCCAGCTGCAGTGCCCTTATGGCCAGGGTGGGAGAACTGAGGCACGAGGAGGGTCTCCCAGCAAAGGCAGGGACAGAATCCAGCTCTTCTCAATGCAGACCAGTGCTGCAGGCCACACTGCCTCCCCGGGCCACAGGCTTTGCCCAACCCCCAGCTCTCCAGGTCCCACCTGTGTCCTGCGCATCCCAAGGACTGCACATTGTAACTCACCGTGCCCCCTGCTCCCCAGCTCCCCTTTCCCGCCAGCCTTCCCCACAGCCGGGGGGCTTTGCTCCAGCCATGCAGCCGGTCGCCTG